GGCGGGGGGGAAGTGCATTACGAAAACGCAATCACGGGTTTTGCGATGAGCTACGCCAGGCGCAGATACGTTAGATCTTTTAGCGCAAAGCTGCATGTACCCACTTTGGCGCTCGCTGCTTGCTGTTGGTCGGCCTTACGGAGTAACTGTAGCAAAAAAGGGCACGAGGCGAATGTAAGGCAAGTTTTGCATGGATATGTGCACTAACGGATGTGGATATTTCAGACGATACGAGAATGGCGATTGCTGGACAGCGACACGCTGGAGCAGCGGCTGATGATGGAGACGCTCACGCACCGAATGCAAATGCACACATTTATTCGTTATAAAAAGATCTATCCAAAATGAAGCGTTCTTAAAAATCTGCGCTTCCGATCGAGCTCACCGCCTAACAGCTTCCAAAAGCAAAAGAGCTGCGTTGGCCAAGTGTGTCGATGCCCCTTGCTACGTGACTGGTTGGCTTGAAAAATAGTTCTGTTGGGAAGATACTTCCACCATCAAGTGTTGTAGAAATTTTAAAGATACAAACAATGAATATCCCTGGTGGGAGGCTAGAAGAGGACGAGGCCTGAAGTCGTCTATGCGTTAACATATGCAGTTTTTTTGGCATTGCTGACCCACCGTGGAGAGGAACACAATCAAATTTTGACAATTAAGGAACTGGAAGTGCCATTTAGATCTCCCAAATAAGCAAGCCTGTATTTGCAGTAACCTCTGTGTTTCATCCCTGAGCTTTAAACACAGACGGCAGAATCGGTGCGAAACGAGGTGGAAATCGCTGTTTCGATGACCGCGCTTAAAGCAATTCGCGAGACCGGAAGTAGCAAGTGCTCCTGGAAGCGACTGGTTCCTTCTGCTCAGGCCCGAAACGGATGCCTAAGTCTCTCTCTACAACAGAGTGAAGTATCACATGAAGCGTGCATCCGGGAAAGCAGGGCCACTGCGAGCTACAGAAAAGTGACAGGCTTTTCACTTTTTCCTAACATTCGGTGCACCTCTCGCTCAGCCTTCTTAGAATCGTTAAAATTTTTTCTCCATTGTTGTGCATCAATAGGACCGTTGCGTAACTGTGCGTCTTTAAAAAAATATCAATAACTGGCAAATAAAAATTCTACGACTGAAATCAATCACCATGGACTGCGACTGAACAGGTGCATTTTGAACAAGCCGTGCAGTCCAGCCATCTCGAATGCAGTCCTCCCGAGACACCGCATCCTGTGGCCCTTGCACCGTTCTAGAAATTAAAAGGAGGACCCTTTTTACGGATATACCGAACCGATTGATCGCTCAACTTTAATCACGAACGTTTTTGGAAGCACTGCCTGCACAGTAATTGCAGCAAGCGAGTTTTGGAGGGCCAGCTGAGGGAGGAGCTTTGACATAAGATAGAGAACTAGAAAAGCCACTTTCTGAGATTATTTTGCTTTTTATGCGTTTTTGCTGTGCAGCGCTGCTATAGCGCTGCTACAGCCAGCAAAAACGCATATTGT